AAAAATTAGCCAGGCGTGGTGGCATGTGCCTGTAATAATCTCAGCTACTGGGGAGGCTGAGGCAGGAGATTTGCTTGAACCTGGGAGTGGGGTGGAGGTTGCAGTGAGCCGGGATCACGCCACTGCACTCCAGCCTGGGCAACAAGAGCAAAATTCCATCTCAAAAAAAAAAAAAAAAAAAAAAGGTATAAGGAATTAATCATTTATTCATCACTAATTCAAAAAAAAAAAAAAGCTACGTTTTTAAATGTAGTTGGCAAAGATACAGACACAAGCAAAACAGACAGACTGTCCTAATGAAGCTTATGTTATAGTGAGGAGAGAGACAAAAGTTATATGGTACAACCGAAAGGAAGAAAAATAAGGCAGTAACAGGGACTTAGGTAATAGGAGAAAGCATCTCTGATAAGGTAAAATTTGAAAGAAAAGAGAGGCAAAAGATTTCTGGGGGAAAGACAAGTACAGGAAAATTTCAGTCTTATTTAGTCACATTTTATTGTGCAATTAGTATTATTGGTATTTATGAACTGCTGCTGTAATTAATTTAGCACTTATTTGCCTCCAAAGAAATGATTACCTATTTCACGGATAATAAAGATTTATACTACAGCTAAGAATCTATGCAGTTGTATTAAAGGTTATTCGGCAAAAGACTTTGGTACCACTCCTAAATACAAGTCTAAGAAAATCTGACAACCGTTGACTGCCAAGTAGAATTTCTATAATTTGCTAAAGAAGGAGTACATTGGGAGGTATCATCTTGGTAATTTTTTTTTTTTTTTTTGAGACCGAGTTTCGCTCTTGTTGCCCAGGCCGGAGTGCAATGGCACTATCTCGGCTCACTGTAACCTCTACTTCCTGGGTTCCAGCCATTCTCCTGCCTCAGCCTCCCGAGTAGCTGGGATTACTTGTGCCTGCTACCACACCCAGCTAGTTTTTGTATTTTTAGTAGAGACGGGGTTTCGCCATGTTGGCCAGGCTCTTCTCAAACTCCTGACCTCGGGTGATTCGCCTGCCTCAGCCTCCCAAAGTGCTGAGATTATAGGCTTGAGCCACCACACCTGGCCTAATCTTGACAACTTTTATGTTTATATAGTTTTATCTGTATACAGTCTTTGAGTGTTTTTTTCTGGACCACTTGTCTCCAAATCTGATTATGCATCCCTCTCAGAGTAGTAAAAACTAAAGCACAGGGCAATTTGTGTATAGTTACATAATTAGGTATATAAACCCTATTATACTGCATACACCATAAAAACAGGCACTAAATATATTTGGCCTCAAGATTAATTCAAAACAAAGTATAGTTAAACATGTCTAGATAAAGTATTAAAAATGTGAGTACTATAACTAGAGCCTAACACAGCTTGGCTGCTAATTATATTTAAGTAGAGAAAAATCACGTCGTTTTAAGGCCCAGAAAGGATCTTAGTGACTATCTAATTAGCTGTATCATTTTACAGATTGTTGATGATGATCTAGTGTATAAAGAATGAACATGATTTAGAAGTATGTTTTTGGGAATTTGGAAGCATGGGTCAATAGCTACAGTCAGAGAAGTAATAACTTCTCTTACTTTTCAAAGATTTAAGGATACCTAATCCATCAATGTCTGAAGGTTCCCTTGGGACCAACATTTCAGTGACCTAAACGGTTACCGGAAGATTACATAATGTGTGCAGAGAACAATATGTATATCTTTAAAAGTTCTTTCATTAAGATGCAAACAGCCTCAGTGGCAGACATTCTGTGTGGCCAAGAGGCTCAGTGTGCCTAACAGCCCCAGGAAGACTAAAGGTAGGATTCCTATGGTTATAGAATTTGCTACTTCCCTCCTTTTCTTTTTCACTCACTTTCTTCCTTCTACTTCCTTTACCAAGAAGTTAAAACCATCTAACCTAGGCTAGCAGATAATTCAGACCCTATTACTACAGATATAACCCATTCCCAATCCAATTCATGTTATATACCTTAAAGTCACATAGGTACAGAAGCTCCTTTCCTTGCATTCTTTTCTCACAATAAAAAAAGAATTAGTATTGCCGCTTTTCTAAGCTGACAAAACAGTGTTCTCTAGTAATAAAAATGTAAGTTTTTGGATGAGATCACGCTATCACATATTAATAATTAGCATAATACCTATAAAATTTAATAATCTCTGCAAAATATTTTAACTCCCTCCCACAAAAATTCAGATTATGTGAAATATAAGCAACTAAGAACTCCACTTTAAAAAAAAAAGTGAGTCACAGACAAAAGACAAAATAACCCACCAGAGATTTCCAAACTATCAGCTATTCACTTGGTTGCTGGCCATCAGGTAAAGCAGGTGAATGGGCTACAATAAAGTATTATATTAAGTCACAATCACAAGACAAATATTTCCACTCTACTTATCAACCTTGCATCCTTCCCCGGGGACTAGTGCCTGCTCCCATTCACACAACAAAGATTATCACAAATGGACCCACGACAAGAGAGCTGTTCAGAAACTGCTACTCAAGTGTACCCTCCTGGTTCTAGGGTTCCACTGTGGTGACAAGAAATTACAAGCAGCTTCCTTCATCAGAGCCCATCACTACCAACAGCAACTGACAGCTTCCAGAAGAACCTCAGTACCACTTTCCCTACCCAAAACCTTTCCTCTTTACTCCAACCCTTGACAAGGATAAATCTCTAAACTTCATAAACAAGGTAATTCTACAAATTAACTTATACACAGGGTTACTTCCTTTCCAATTTGATCAAGGAATGCAGGGCAAGAATAACCCAAAATATGCAATGTAAATCATGTTGAAATTAAAATGTATTTCCATCTCCACCCCTCCACGATGGCATAATTTCAAATCAATTTATATAACACATATCTGGTCCTCTGAAAAATCATTTTTTAAAAGGGCTGTTATTATTCTGTCCTAGCTATCGCAGATCAGACAATTCAGATTTATTCTGTAAGATTTCAGATTTTCTCCAAATGACACAGGTGGTTATTTTATATATAAGAGTCATTAAAAGATTAATCCTTTTTAACTAAAAAGAGAGTACGGCCATTTACAAGTTAAAGGCAGATTTATTCTAAGCTGGTGCTCTAGGTTCTTACCTCTCTAAGATACTGTGATTTACAATACACCAAATGTAGGAAACAGCTTCCAAAATTTGTATTGCTTCATACAAATCAGGACTTTCAGGTCAAGGAGCCTAGGATAGGTTCTCTGTTAAATTTTGGAATCCTTTTTCTCAAGAGTAACCTACTAGAAACTATTTACCAAGCCTTTGTGAAATCTGTAAAACAGGTTACTACTCCATTCAGCCACGAAACAGGATTCGAAGATTTAATATTACTGCTCATACTCCAAATTATAGAATGCTTAAAATTATCTGACTTTTGTAATTCACTACACGGTGAGCTCAAATTTACCTTATTAGAATATTTAGTACTTCTGCACTTCTCCCACTTCTCAAAGTTTTCCCACACCAGGATGCCCACCACCTAGGAACAGCCTTTGCAAGATACCAGTGCTCTCTAAATCCCCAAAGCAGGGTCGATTTCCCGATCGAACAAAGAGCAACAAAGAAGTGGGTGGTAACCACCACTCTCAGAGGCGAGCCAGGACCCATCGAGTGTGATCTACAACACAAGCAGTAGCAGTTCCACATCTCCCTACCACCTCTTACTTCCTGCGAAGGCTTTCTGCCTGAAACTGGAAAATCCGAACTATTATTGAGGAAGTGGAGCCCTTCCATTTGAATCCTGAGAAAGAGGCGCTCAAAGAATCCGGCGAACAAAGGAGAGGGTTGGAGCCCACGTAAAACATGGGTGTGATAAAGCCACACGCCGGACTTGAGCCCCCACCCTCAGTAACTACTCTCCAGCGCCCACCCGGGAGGAGGGGTCCGGGGAAAGACTGGAAGCCGAGGAAGGAGACGCTCCGGCCAGACCCAACGCAGGGGAGGGGAGGCGAGCTGGCGAGGAGGGGGGAAGGGGACAGGAGGGGCGGAGCTCTCGCGGCCGCGGGGCTTTGTGTAGAGTCAAGGCCGGGGTAGAAATTTTGCCTCGCGGGGGACGGGTCGAGGGGATAGAAAGCCTACGCCGGGCACCCCAAACCTGCGCTGCCACGAATGGTGGGCAGGAGAGAGGAGAGAATGGGCCGCCCCCTTCCCCGCCACCACCAAGGCGGGGTAGGCCGGCGCCGTCCCCAGCAGCGGCCACCTTCGAGGCTGCGGACGGCACGGACGAAGGGGGAGAGGCAGGAGACAAGCGGGGCGGCCCCCCGATTCCCGCCCGCAGGAGCCGCGGGTGCTGCGCGAGGAAGACGGTCTCGTTCTAACCGCGCCGGGCCGGGAACGGGTTAAGATGCGGCCAAATGTCGGTCCCTCCTCCTTCCCACCCCTCAGCTCCGGCGCCCACTCGCGACGGCGGCCGCGGAACCCAGCACCCGGCCCGCGCGCCCACCCGGACACCGGCCCCGCAGCTCACCGTCGTAGTAGTAGCAGACTTTTTTTTTGCCGCCTCCTTGACTGTACGCCATGGACTCCCCGGCCACCGCCGCCTCCGGGCTCCTCCTCCTGCTGCTGCTGCTGCTGCTGCCGCCGCGGCTCGGCCGGGAGAGAAAAGGGCTAAGGGAAACGTGGGGGCGGTAGTCCCGCGGGGAAGGGCAGGTCGGTGGGAGGAGAGGAGGGGGCGCCGGGAAGGCTGAGGTGCCGAAAGCTCGGAACCGGGGGTGGCAGCGGCACCAACTAGCGACACGGGAGAGGGGAGGGGGCCACCAAACCACCTCCGGAGGCCGCAGGGAGGTGGGCGCGCCCACTGCGGCCTCCGCGGGGGAGGAAGGGGCACGGCTGGAGAAGGAGGTCGCTTCGGGCTCGAGATTAGAGGCCCTCTGAGGGTGAACAACCTGCGCAAGGCGGCGCCATACACAGTCTTAAAATGAGGAAGAAGACAACCTTTCGCTGCGCAAGTAGATCCAGGGAGCGTGCAGCTGGGTGAACGTTCGCCCCCCTCAGGTCTGCGCGCAGTGGTTGCGCCTCTCCCCGAGCCTGCGCAGTCGGCGCCTCGTAGCCTTGGCGGTCTGGACCCCTTGTCGGCGTCCCACGCTGCTCCCCTCCCCCACTGCCGCGAAGCTCCCGCCCGAGCCGACCACGTGCCGGGAGCCCGGCGGGGAGAGCCCACTCCCGCGCCCCTTCCGGGCCCACGACCGCGCCGGGCTGCGGCCCATCGCCCCAGTGCCTGGTAGCCTAGTTTTCTCGTTTGTCGTTTGTTCATTTATTATTATTATTATTATTATTATTGTTTTGGCCCGTAATGGGTAGGAGGTATAAAGGGACCTATCACCGATGTTAAGGGGAGAGGGTACCGCTTGGGTTTTAATAAGCATTTGTGGAGCTCATTTATAAGATACAGTTCTAAGCACTTAAATTTATATTTCATTGATAATCTATTTATAATAATCTCACTTAAGGCTCCCAACAACTCTAGGAAGTAAGTGGTAATTGTACTCCTTCATTATAGATGGAGACAGATGAAGGAACTTGTTCTTACTGCTAACTGATATGTCTGGAGGTTTGAACTCATTCTGCAAACTCCACGCGCCTTTGCTGTTCCACTCTGCAGCGATGCTGCTGCCTAGACACTGGAAGATTGGAGCAGAAAGACTTTCGAAACTCTTGGAAGTTATGAATATATGTGTTCCTGTGTTCAGTAAATACACATTTATCAAGCACCTACCTTAAGCCAGCCACCTTGCAGGTGAGGGCTAGAGGCTAACAGCCTGTTTCATAGCACCCATCCCGATTATATAATTTAAGATTCCCCCTCCCCCACAATACACCCCTCTTAAAAAAAAAAAAAAAAAGCTGTATTGATGCTGGAATTTTAGAGCCACTACCAAAAATACCCTTTTTATTTTGCTGTTTTACTTCAAAATCCCGAAAGTGTTCATGCTTAAAGCAGCAATATTTCCCAACCTCACCCCCAAGAGATTTAGAAAAAGTCCAGGGTGGCCCCTGCCCTCCCTCTGCCCCCTCCTCTGTATTTTTAACAAGACCCCAGATGACTGATGAAGTTGCTAGAGAAATTACGGTGAGTGAAGCACTGGCCTAGAGGTAAAGTTAATTGACCTTCTAAGTTGTGCTCGATCAAGTACAAAACCAACTTGGAAGATTCTGAGAACAGAATAAGTGAATTTAGTAGAAGTGAATGTTCTTACCCAGGGCAAACACAATGAAGTCTGAAATGACACTTTGTTTCCTTTGGGAAGACTTCCCTGACCCCTCTCCAGCCAAGACTGTTCTCCATTCCATGTACCTTGTATGCTGTAGCTCAACACTTAACCGTGTTGCAGTTGCCCACAACTTGTCTGAATGTCCCACTATGAATAGAGTATCATAAGTGAAGGAACCAGGTTTATCTTGCATATCATAGTTTCTCTAGTGTCTGTGACTTAGGGCAAGTCACTAAAACTTTTTTTGAATTGCCTTATCTGTAAAATGGGGCAGTATTACTTAGAGAGTAGTATTGAGAATCTCAAATAAGAAAATTAATATGGAATACTTTTTAAAAATGAAGAACTATATGAATAAGGGATTATTAGGATTACTATAATAACAGTGACGATTACTAATTACTCTTTGTATCCACAGCACCTAACATTGAACTTGTAAGAAGAGCCTGGACATATCTTTTGACTGGCTGAGAAACTTATTTGTTATTTAATAATTTAAACCAATAGAAGCAAGTTGTATTACCTTTAGAAACTGGTGTGGGAGAAGGAGTTTTATCCAATGATAGGAGTCGGCCAAGAGAATTCTGTCTATAATCTCTACTATGTTAGCAGAGCTAAAAGTGGCATCAGTTATTGAAACCCATTGATAAGCTCCAAATTTCATTGACCACATTCTAACTCTTCTGTATCAAACCCTTTTAAATATGGAGTTTTAGACAGCATGCAGTAAAAGGAAACCAACTGAAAGCATGGATAATTCATAGGATGCATGCATAGTTAAGGACTGTCTTTTTCCTTAAATTGTTTTTCTTTAGTTTCTGCTCCATCTCTAGGTGCTTACTTTTTCAATCTTGAAGATATTTAGTGTGTTGAAATTGTTCGGTAAAATGATCTCTTAAACATAAATGATTATTTAAGAATAGGACTGTTAAGAAACTGATAGCCTCAGCTTATGCTAAAAATTAAACCCTGCTGACAACTGCAGCAAACAGTTTAATTTTTAATTCCTGTAAGAGAATTATTCATATAAGCTTATTTCTACTCTAAGGAAATTTAGGTTTCTTAGTGCTAATTTTGTGTAGCAATTCCATACGGTGATACAGAAGGTAGAGAAGTACAGTGGCACACTAGAGTGTTGTCGTAAACTCAAACAGCCTCAAGCTGAATTCTGATCTTGTAAGCATAGTGCCTATCTTTACACAGTACTACAAGCTGTAATTCATAAACCTGAATAGCAACATCTAACAATGAGAGATTATAGTACTTTTGAACTGTGCATTTGTGTAACAAAATTTCAAATTACCCATTTACATTAAAAATATATTTTTGAACTATAACTTATCTACTAAATTACTGTTACATTAAACCTTTCAAGACATTCATGTTACACTGTTAACTAATGCTTTGCAGATGACCTTCGAAACTATCACTTTGATCTAATCCACCCACTTGCTCAAATTTTCTAATTTTTATACTCACCCTGCATCTGAGAAAATTAACTTGTTAGTGTCTCCTGATCACCCTACATGTGTATCTTAATTTTCTTAATTCTTCCTCTTTCCTATCTTAGTGTTTTGTTTGTTTGTTTGTTTGTTTTTTCTTTAAGACGGAGTTTCACTCTTGTTGCCCAGGGTGGAGCCCAATGGCATGATCTCAGCTCACTGCAACCTCCTCCCGGGTTCAAGAGATTCTCCTGCCTTAGCCTTCGGAGCCACCCCCCCCAGGCTAATTTTTGTATTTTTAGTAGAGGTGGGGTTTCACCATGTTGACCAGGCTAGTCTCTAACTCCTGACCTGGTGATCACCCGCCTCAGCCTCCCAAAGTGCTGGAATTACAGGAGCCTCCGCACCTGGCCTCCTATCCTAGTGTTTTTAACCTTCCTTAAAATCTAGTCATTATTCTTCTCCACCTACCACCAGAACTGTACAGATGGAGGTGGCGTATGCATGTTGTGACCATGGGGTGGAAAGCCACATGACAAGAATAGTGGAGCAGAAGGATAGGGACCTGGGTCCTTGATGACCTCATATGTAGCCGTTCCAGACCTGGACTGTGTACTTCCTGGACTGTGGTGACATGCAGGAAAAAAAAAAATGAAACAAATGGAAAAACACATTTAGGTAAACCACTGTAGTTGAGATTTTGTTATATGTAGCTGAATATAATCCTAACTCATGCAAAATCTGAATTAGAAGTTAGTGGTTTCTCGTAATTTCTCCCAACTACAGGCTTCCCTTGGGAGACAATTTTCTGGATTTCTGAATATCTTGAGAACAGAGGTGCTGGTTTTGTCTGAAACTATCTTTTCAGTGATGTTTGTGTAGTGAACAGCGTTCCAAGATAGTAAAAATGACTCCCTCTGGAGAGAAGAACAAGCATGATTACTACCCATTATAAAAGAATCAGGTTCTCTAAGTACTAGACTGGACTGGACTGGACCATACTAATACTATACTATGCTATACTATACTGTACTATACTATACTATACTATACTATACTATACTATACTATACTATACTATACTATACTGCAGTCCATTGCCAGTACAAGTATTATGTGGCATCTTCATGTTGGCATATGGGAATTGGGGTTCAGAACAGCAGCACAAAAATTAATACTGTTGCTCTGGTCATTGCTATTGCCATGAGTAATAAATTATCCCTTAACATAGGAGTCTTGAGTCTAATACTAGCATGATGAAACTGTGGCTGGCTAGCTTATTAGCTTGCAAATAGAGTAAATTTTCAGATTGTTTAAGGAACCTGGAATAGACTGCATAGACCTCAGATGACTGTGGGCAGCTCTCTGAAATAGGGCCACGCTAGTTACTTGGAGGAACTTTCCAGCGGGAAAGCAGACTTATTTGTGTGTACTTTGTGGTTGGTTGTCCCAACAATGGGAGTCAGATAATTAGAAAAGTGGTAAGAAATTTGTCCCTGAGGCTGGGCGCGGTGGCTCACGCCTGTAATCCCAGCACTTTGGGAGGCCAAGATGGACGGATCATGAGGTCAGGAAATTGAGACCATCCTGGCCAACATAGCGAAACCCCATCTCTACTAAAATACAAAAAATTAGCCAGGTGTGGTAACGCACACCTGTAGTCCCAGCCACTCAGGAGGCTGAGGTGGGGGATTGCTTGAACCTGGGAGGCGGAGGTTGCAGTGAGCCGTGATCACAGCACCGCACTCCAGCCTAGCGACAGAGTGAGTTTGTCACTGAGTTCAGCTGAAGTGATTAATGATATCACCTGGGCGTTAGAAGGCAGTCAGCTCCAACTCAACTCACTGACCAGAATTGTTATAGATGATAGAATTGCAACAGATGTCAGATTCTGAACCATCCCTAAAACATCCAGCTATGCCTGGATTAATGCCACAAACCAAGTAGAAGGGTCAAATGAGAGTCTTAAGGAGAAAGCCACTGACTTTCCAAGGTAGACCCTGTTGGTTTATGGTATTCAGAACTCTGGGTGTCATGATTAAGGTCAATACTTTGTCCTGCTGCTTGGGTATTGTTGATAGTCCCTTAATTAAGTGCTATATGAGACAAATGGAATTAAGCCTCTATACATCAGGTTAATCACAGTGGTCAATGGAGTCACATATTCATATGAAATTTTGAGTTCTACCAAGAACGTGTAAGGGTGGGTGGTTAGAAGAGGAAGATCTGTCTTGGTCCTGAGTGTCCCTGCATAATCTTGCTAAGTATGCCAGATTGCAAGTTTTACCTGTCTCCTGAGACTGCATTTTTGCAGCTAGACACATAGACAATTAAGTGGGTCAGGGTAACTGTACAATGACTCTTGTGTAACTGCTCAATATCAGGGTAAGGGAGATTGGCTTGTTTGCTGCTAGTTCAAGAAGTTTGGACCCTTGGATCTGGGTTTCTCTTTTGCAGTGCAACCCACTAAGTGTGCAGGGGGCATCTGGGTCCATTATATATTCCCTGTGGGAGTTGGGGGCAAGAGGAACTGACAAATATGCTGATGCTCATGCTGCTTTCTGTGCTATAAGCAATAAAGTACTTTGTCTCCTAACTAGAATTTTGTGACTTCTGCCAGCATCCATGAAACCAGCAGATTAATTTATTAGCTTGCAAGAAGGGTAAAATCTTAAATGCTTTACAGTTCATGACAAAATGTAGTCATCCCTCCCTCAGTAAATGTGAAGGATTGGTTCTCGAACCTGCTGCATATGTCAAAATCCATGCATACTCAAGTCCCACTGTTGATCATACGGAACCACAGTATAAAAAAAGCTGGCTCTCCATATACATGGGTTTTACATCCAGGGAATGCTGCATTTGGTTGAAATGCAATTCCACATGGTTCAAAACTGTTTTGTTCAAGGGTCAACTGTAATGCCAAAGCATTGTAAGCAATGAGAATTTTTTTATATTGTAAACCCACAGAATCTAGGAGTCATCCTAATTTGAATGAATAAAATATCAAAATTAGGATGACTCCTAGATTCTTTCTGATCATAGGTGGGAAACAGAAAATTCCTAGGAAATTTTACATAAGTTTTGGATAGGTTTAACTAGAAAACTCCATCGGATTGATAGTGGTCCTGTTTCTCTGAAGAACCCTTTCTAATGCAACCGTAGTAAAAGGATCAGTACTATGTCACTTAAGAATAAACTGAGAGCTACATAACTGCAGTCTGCTACATTGAAGCTCTCCCATCTTAAAAATTTTCTTTCAACTCTTGTGACACTATAGACACTAAAGAAGGAAATAACTGAAAAGGTCACTTAATTTTTGTATTTTGCTGTTTTCCTTTACAATATATTTCCAAGTACTTTAAAAGTACTTATAGCAAGCAATGAAGACTTTTGCTCTTCCCAATAGAAAATTATTCAGTGTCTTTATAATAAAGATTTACCAGAATTTAGCTTAACACATTTTACTCTACTAAACAAAAATTTTCCGTTTGTTTCCTTTATTACTCACTGCTTTCCATTACAATATACTTGCAAATGCACATTACCTAGGTAGAGGGTTGAAGCAAGTTTAATTGGATCATTTTATTTCTTCATTTTATTATCTTAAAATTTTAGGATAATAGGTATTCCCTAAAATTGTAGATTCCCCATAAGTTAATTTGTAAATTGAAATTTGGTTTATTAAAATTATATTTTAAATCATTTAGAGACTACCCCTGATGGAATTTTATGACTTTAAAAGTGCTTTCCCTAAGTTCTCTTTTGGTGCCCAGCAAAGTTCTGATGAGTTTTTCTTTCTTTCTTTCTTCCCTCCCTCTTTACATGCCTTTTCTTTTTTTTTTTTTCCAAGAACAATCATATTTTCAAGACTTTTGTTAACAACATAGATGAGATCCTAGGATGGTTTCTGTAGTAAGAATTTTGTGAATTTTATGAATTTTAATCCCTAAAAATTTGGAGCGTATTTTACTGGGAAAAAAAATGTTGAGCCCTACATGTAATAAAATTACTCTATTTTTCAAATGTTTAATGACAACTTTATACTTTTCTGATTAATGTTCATAGTCAAAATGTTATACAAAGCAACTGTGCTATTAATAATGATTGTAACATAAATGATGTAGGGAAGTCTCTCTTGGCAGACCGATCACTTCCCTTTTATACTGTTTCTACCTTATCATTTCTGAAACAGGAGTTTTCATGCTTCAGTGTATATAAAAACTCCCTGGGAATTGATTTATTATGCCAGTTCCTTGGCCTACCTTCTATATTTCTGAATTGGAAGTTCTGGACTGAGATGTGGGGAGTCTGCATTTTAACAAACTTCTCAAAGTAATTCTGATATAGATGAGCCGAGATCCACTCATTGACTAATGCTTGGTATCCAAACATTTTCTGCACATCAGGGTAGCCCACTTAGATTTTTAGCTTAAATTTTCTTATAAATTGAATCATTTCGCTCATATTAACTGGGTAAGTTAGTGGGACCTGACTTCTGCCTTTTGCCACTAGGCACCATGATAGTTTGGAATGGATTAGTATTTGTTTATTTTTATTATTTTTTTTTTATATTACTTTTCAGATGGAGTCTTGCTCTGTTACCCAGGTTGGAGTGCAGTGGCATGGTCTCAGCTCACTGCAACGTCTGCCTCCCGGGTTCAAACAATTCTCTTGCCTCAGCCTCCCGAGTAGCTAGGACTACAGGCATTCACCACCACGCCCAGCTAATTTTTGTATTTTTAGTAGAGTCAGGGTTTTACCATGTTGCCCAGGCTGGTCCTGAACTCCTGACCTCAGGTGATCTGCCCACCTCGGCCTCCCAGAGTGCTGGGATTACAGGCGTGAGCCACCACACTTGGCCAGGAACGGATTATATTTGTAGCTAGGGTTGAATGCATAAAACTTTGAGTTGTAGGGAATTTGAGTTTTGTTTTATATGTCATTTAATAGAAAATAAGAAAATACAGACAAAAAGGAAATAAATTTTTATCATGCATCTCTCTTCCCAGCCCTTAATATCATTTTGTCGCACACACTTCCTTACTTTTGAAATACACGTAAGTTGGTCGGGCGCAGTGGCTCACGCCTGTAATCCCAGCACTTTGAGAGGCTGAGGCGGGCAGATCACCTGAGGTCACGAGTTTGAGACAAGCCTCACCAACATAGTGAAACCCCATCTGTACTAAAAATACAAAAATTAGCCGGGCATGGTGGCGCCTGCCTGTAATCCCAGCTTCTTGGGAGACTGAGGCAGGACAATCACTTGAACCTGGGAGATGGAGGTTGCAGTGAGCCGAGATCGCACCATTGCACTCCAGTCTGGGTAACAAGAGTGAAACTCGTCTCAAAAAAAACAAACAAAAAAGAAATACACATAAGTCTATGTAAGCAGGTGAGGATATATGTTGTAAAACAAAAATTGGGACTTACTGTTTATATGCTGTCTTATAAATACATAATGTATTAAATTTGCCTTTCCCCTCTCAATAATACATTTCTGTATAAATACATGCAAAAACATTTCATGCATAAATTAAGATTTAGCCTTTTACCTCGTTGCACTTCGGAGAGCAAGATGGGTCACCAGCAGCTGTACTGGAGCCACCCGCGAAAATTCGGCCAGGGTTCTCGTTCTTGTCGCGTGTGTTCAAACCGGCACGGTCTGATCCGGAAATACGGCCTCAATATGTGCCGCCAGTGTTTCCGTCAGTACGCGAAGGATACCGGTTTCATTAAGTTGGACTAAATGATCTTCCTTCAAAGCATTATCCAAGGCCATCTACTCAGTGAAAAACCATGATAGTTCTTTGTACATAAAATAAACATTTGAAAAATAAATAAATAAATAAAAATTTTAAAAAAATTAAAAAAAAATAAATAAATAAATTAAGATTTAACTAAACCCTGTTAGATTAAAAAACTTTTGGCTGTTTCAAATAGTGCTTTCTTTAAATCTATTAAAATACGTCTTCATGCATTGGTCCAATATTTAGCTTAAAAAGCTTTTGATGCATAGTTATCTCTATGTCCATTAGAATTATAAAAGTGTACATTATTGAAGCATAGGGGACAGTGGTAACTATAGTTTTTGTCGGTTTACTACCTTTTTTTCTTTCTTTCTTTCATCTTCTGGTTCTTTGGGTGAACTATAACTCCTAACATCCTGTTTGGCCACTCATCCTGGGCCAGGATCCTGGTAGGGTTGTAAAGCACATAGCCTCCATCCTCCCATTCCAGGCGTGTGCTTGTAATCCAAATTGGGCCAGAATATTTTCCCCAGACATTGCTGACAGAGCAAACTGGAGAAACTTACTCTATTTGCTTTTGGCTGTCTTCCTTGACCTTAAGGAGAAGCCTGTTTGTACAAAGAGGAACTGAGAAAAATATAGAGGGAAGTAAAGAGATATAGATGATAGACAGAGGGAGAGCTAGCTAGTTAGCTAGCTAGAAAGAAAACATTTGAGCCCCTGGATTAAGCCATGCCTGAAAGCTAGCACTGCCTCTAAACTCCCCAGTTATATGGGCCAATAAATTCCCATTTTTTGCTTGAACTAGTTGATATGGATCTCTCTTACTTATAACCCAAACAGCTTTTATTATTACATAATGCAAATTCAAAATAAAATACAAAAATTCACTCTTCTTATCAGTAAATTAAGTGTTATACAAACTAATTGCGTATTATGTGGTCCACAATTTTAAACATGTAAGCTCTTAAGCTTACATGATTTATCACTCGCTTCTAACTAAGTAAACATCTAACTTTGTAGGAATACTGTACTTTAGCAAAACATGATTTTTTTCAGAGACTGAATATTTAGATAAATAAAAAGTTTCTATGACTTCACATTTCAAAATTTCGTCCTATAATATTATTCTAAATGCTCAAGGTGCAGTGAAAATATGGTTGCAGTTATGAAAGTTCAGTTTACTCAGCTTTTCAAGAACACATTAATGTGCAAAGACACTATTACACAACTTTGCTTTGCAGTTGCACTTTTCGCATTGGAGAGAACTGTTCAATCATACTTTTGTCATTATATCTTAATACTTGCATAGTTTTTGACACAATTGTTGTACAATAAAGCTACAGAAATATGATTGGCATTACTTTATAAACTAAGGACACAAGCACTGTTACATCTCTTATTTTTCCCATTTCTAGTTTGAAGTTTCACATGCCGTATTAACTGGAAGGATTGTATCCCTTCCTAAACATCTTTCCTCTCAAATTGTCGAAGAACTCTAGGAGATGACAGAATTAAAAGCAGGTCTGTCCTGTGAACAGATGGCACTGAGGTCCGCAATAGCTCTTCATTGCCACAAGGTGTCACAGAAGGAAGAGCTTGCACAGACTGGCCACCCTCTGCTGTAGGGAGACCCTTGCTGGTCCAAACCCCTGTCTAAATATCAGTAACATCCCTCTGTAGTTCATTCCCATTCCCTGAGGATCATCTGTTATTTTCTAAAACACAGCCAGCCTGTGAATGTTGCTAGATCCAGAGAAACATGTAGGAGTAAGTATTGCCAATGTCCAAACCAGCCCTATCCCATGAATGCTTAAGTCCTTACCTTCTTTTAGAGGGTTGGGGAGAGCTTTCAATTTTTATATAATTTTTAACTTTCAGAATAATTGCAACAATAGTATGAGAAACTTCTGTATACCATTTCCCCAGATTCGCCAATTATTCACACACACGTTTTGTTTTTGTTTTTGTTTTCCCTAAATGTAGGTTGGAAACATTTCAGTGTGTATTTCCTAAGAACTAAGACATTCCCTTACATAATCAGATAAAGTCATCAAAATTAGGAAATCTATATAAAACTTATCTAATTCAGGGTTTGTATTAAAATTCCTACAAACTATCCCAGTATATTTTTACAGCTAATTTTTCTGCTAATTTTAGATCCAATCCAGGATCATATATTACACTTAGCTGTGATGTCTGCAGAAATACCACAGGAGTGATGATGTGTCCTTAGTGACCATGACAGGAGATGCATTAATCTATTTTCCTTGTCTGTCGGTCTTGTTAACTTTGAAAACTAGGTCAAGGTGGTGTCTACCAGGTTTCTCCACTGCGTAGTTTTCATTTACCGCTTTGTAAATAAATTATTTGTGGTAATAGACTTTAAGACTCCCCATGTGGTTCCTTAGTGTTCCTCAAAGAATGGTTAGATGGCTTCTAAGAATGGATGTACCAACAGAGTTGAAGAAGGTGGCATTTTTATGATCTTGCCTCAGAAGTCGCATAACTTTACCTCTACAGCCCTTCTTGGATGAAGCAGTCACAAAGGTGCACCCACATTTAAGATGGGGGGACATAGAGCCCACTACTCCAATGTCAAGGCAACATTTCAGAAAAAACATTACGGATTGAAAGGATTATTGCAGCCATCTTTGAAATGCTCTGTTGGCCACACTGGGCAGTACCATGCCTACTGAATCATAGCCACTTACTCCCAGCAGTAACACCCCTCCCACTCTGTGTCCAGTCTGCTTAATTTTAGGCCTCTGTGAACCTTCTTAAGATTGGCATTCTCAAGAGAGCCCTGGGATTAACATCCAGTGAATTTGTTGGGGCCCAGTTGTCTCATGTGCCTCTTGCTGCCACCGTGCAGTGCAGCAGATAATGAGGGGTGGCACCCTCCTGTGAGTCATGTTAGCAAAGAGAACAAAGGCAAATAAAAAAGACCCTAATGTTGCCCTTTATCCCAGAGCCACTTAGAAACAACAGTTGACTTTTTTTCTTCTTCTTTTTTTTCGAGATGGAGTCTCATACTGTTACCCCAGCTGGAGTGCAGTGGTGCGATCTCAGCTCATTGCAAGCTCCACTTCCTGGGTTCAAGTGATTCTCCAGCCTCAGCCTCCTGAGTAACTGGGATCACAGGCATCCACCACCATGTTCAGTAATTTTTTGTATTTTTAGTAGAGATGAGGTTTCACCACGTTGGCCAGGCTAGTCTCGAACTCCTGACCTCGTGATTCACCCGCCTTGGCCTCCCAAAGTGCTGAGATTACAGGCATGAGCCACAACACCCGGCCCAGCAGTTGACTTTCTAACCTCCTTTATTTTCAGTTATCTTTGGATGCCACTTGTACACACTGGTCCTAGGATCTATGCACAACTCATAGTTGACTTTTCCCACGCTCTGCCCCAAGGCCATCTAAATTCCAAACTATGTATATGATTCCTGAGACAGTGGAAACTTTTGGAACTCCATGTTCCAAACATAGAATAGAACTCTATGTTCTACTCCTTGAATGGGCTGAAGCTTTACAAATTTTCTACTTGTAAAGTGTGTTTAGTAGCTGTGGGGATAAGAGGTTGGTGACCTCTTAGGTAGTAATCTGCCTCATCATATTGATCTAGAATGAGGTAGCCAAAAATATATGTTTTTATGAAAGAATATTATATATATATATGTACACTACAAATTGGCAAAAGAACTTGAATTCTTTTGAACTTTTCAAAAGAATTTGAAAAGACACTTCAAAGAAGATTGGCAGATGTCAGGTTCTTTAAAAGGTGCTCAACCTCAGTCACTAGGGAAATGCACATCAAAACCACAATGAGATGCCACTATACACCTGTTAAAATGACCAGCGTTAGAAAGACTGATCACCTCAAGTGTTAACAAAGACGTGGGGCAATTTGAGCTCTTATGCACCATTGTTGAGAATGTAAAATGGCACAACCAATACGGAAAACAATTTGACAGTTTCTTATAAAAGTTAAACATTCGGCGGGGCGCAGTGGCTCACACCTGTAATCCTAGCAGTTTGGGAGGCCAAGGTGGGTGGATCACCTGAGGTCAGGAGTTCAAGACCAGCCTGGCCAACATGGTGAAACTCCATCTCTACTAAAAATACAAAAAAAAATAGCCAGGCATGGTGGTGGGCACTGTAATCCCAATTACTTGGGAGGCTGAGGAAGGAGAATCGCTTGAACCCAGGAGATGGAGGTTGTAGTGAGATCGGATGGCACCACTGCACTTCAGCCTGGGCGACAAAAGCAAGACTCTTCCTCAAAAAAAAAAAAAAAAAAAAAAAAGCACAGTATCATGTGCCTATAGTCTCAGCTTTTCGGGAGCCTTAGGTGGGAGGATCACTTGAGCCCAGGAGTTTGAGGCCAGCCAGGGCAATCTAGCAAGTCCCTGTCTCTAATTTTTTTTTTTAAAGTTAAACATACATCTATCTTGTGATCCAGCCATTCCACACGTAAGTATTTATTTAAGAGAAATAAGAGGTTATAAACATACAAAGATTTGTACATGAATGTTCACAGGGGCTTAATTTATAATAGCAAAAGACTTGAAAAAACCCAACAATCTGTCCATTAACAGGTGAATGGCTAAACAAATTGTGATATAGCCATGCAGTGTGATAGCATTCTGCATTAAAAAACGAACTATTGATATGTGAAGCAACATAGATGAGTCTCAATTGTGCTAAGTAAAAGAAGCTAGACAAAAATAAATACGTACTGTATAATTTCATTTATATTAAATTCTAGAAAATGCACTTAGTGATAGCACTTCAGTGGTTGCTTGGAGATGGGAGGAGCAGTGGGAAGAGCAGAAAGGGAAGGATTACAAAGAGGCAAGGGGAAACTTTTGGAATTTATGGATATATTCATTATTGTGATTGTGTGGATGATTTCATAAGTGTATATGCAGGTCAAAACATCAAATTGTATTTTTAAAATATGTGCAGTGCAGCATGTTGTACAGAAATTATACATCAGTTAAACAAAAAGAGTACTAAGTATATATCCATTACACATGCTTATAATATGAATATTTCAATTCACAGGCTGGAGGATAAAAGTAA